AAAAAACAAGTAGAGCGGGAATAAAGAAGGGATTGAAGTGTGAGAAATAGACTGAGGAGAGAGTCATCCAGTGAGGGTGACACATATGAATCAGATAAAGAGGTGAGAACTTTATATACATAAAGACTATCTAAAATAAGATTAAAAGGTTCAGAAGAAAAAGTTTGTAAGGCCAATATTGTAGCAGCAAGTTCAGCACGCTGAGCAGAAGTTTGAGGAGGAGTAATTTTTGTGTGCCATTGTTCACCCTCCTTCCATACACATGAACCATAAGTCTTGCTGCCATCAACATACAGGGTGACAGCGTTAGGAATGGGAGAGGAGGAAATGGGAGAATGCAGAGAAATTGAAACATTATTAAGGAGTTGGAAGCGAGGGTCAAAAGGAATATGACAGGAAACAGATCCTGCCCAGTCAGCAAGAGAAAGTTGCAATACATTTGAAGAGTATAATTGAAGCAAGTGCCTTGGGGTTGATTCCCCTTTTGGATTGCAGCTGCAAGAGTGTCCATTTGAAAAGCATTGGTTCCCACAATGCGACAGGCTTTAAGAAAGTCTGCCAGAGTGGCCGTGGGACTGGAAACAATTGGTTTAAGAATGGACTGGCAGTCTGCATTTGTATATTCATAAGCCAATTTTATGAGGATTTCATTTGCTGCATCTCTGTTTGAAATTTGATGCTCAATGGCAACTTGCAGGTAATTTACAAAGTCTGCATAGGATTCAGTTGCAGTCTGGCGAATGGCAGAAAAAGATTGAATCGGGGTGCCAGACTCATCAACACGAGCCATGGCAGAAAAAACACAAGCATTAATGATAGGAAATGCAAGGGGAGTAAAAGTTAGAGCTTGAGCATTGAGGGTAGTAAAATTGCCTTCTCCAAAGAGTTGTTCTGCTGTGTATTGTGAACCTGGGTGATTAGCTCTCTTTTGTGCCTCTCTTTTATATTCAGATTCAAAGACTACGTATTGTGTTCCGTTAAGAAGCATGCGGAACAGATCTTTCCAATCTTGAGGCAACATTCTATATGCACTAGCAATTGAATGTATTAGTCCTCTAGTATAGGGACTGGTTATGCCATAATCTTTTGTAGCCTTTTTCAATTCTCTGATCATAGCCAGGGGAAGTACCTCCCAATTAACTATTAAGCCTGTTGCAGTCTGTTGGTAATTAACAGGGAACAACTCTGTCTCGGATAGTTCAGAAACGCTTAAATCACCATTGTTTAAAGCCTTTTGAAAAGCACCACGGATGATTCCAGGCTGGGAGAGAGGAGGCAACGTGACAGGAACAGAAGAGGCTATTTGCTGTTTATTAGAATCCATAGAATTTGCAGTGGCAGAGGGAGGGTTAAAACCTGCTCCAGGGGGTAAGGGAGTGGCCAACATAACAGACGGATTTTTATACGGTGGAGGATCTAATAAAGGCTGATGAGGCGAGTCAGCATAGGTTTGAATCAGGGTATAGGCAATTTTCCAAAGGCACAAAATCTCTACAGGGGCTCTTGGAGACTGGTGGAGAACAGTACCAATTTTCCTCCATGTATCTACTTTTAAAGATCCAGACTCCGGATAGAATGAGCAGTTAGCCCATACGTAAGCAAGCAATTTAACAGCCTCAGATTTAGAAAGGTGACGGGTTAATTTCTGTTCCTGATCAGTAAGATATTTTTTCCTGCCAAGTAGCCTCAGCTCTTCCACATGCTGCTTTTGAGCGTGAGACATTCCACCCCCCATACTTACGAAGAGCAGTCAGTTGCCAGCAACTTTGTCGGGTGCACCAAGCCTATTCCAGGCGATAAGTAAAGGGTTGGCAGGGACGTATCCTTCAGTGGATCACGTCGGGGTCACCAGATGTGGTGGTCTCCCATGGAAAATGAGACACGCAGGCAGGTATCTCGGGATGAGAGCCCAGAGCTGAGTCCAGCACCCTCTTTTATTGTTACTAAGGTTTTTACATCACACAGCATAAGCAAAAGACGTATATAGGGGTGGTTACAATGTATCAAATAACAGACACTCTCCAGATGCAAGGCTACTGCAGGTGTTCTTATCAGAGTCTGTCCAAAAGGCTGATGAATGTATCCTGTGTCTGAAACAGTTATCTCAGGCCCTTGTGGGAGATGTCCATGGGCAGATGCCTATGGGTATTTGTGGAATTAGTCCCACAAATCCACATGATTTTTTTAATGTTATATTTTCTTTGGGGAGGTTAAAAAAATTAGAGCAGTATTTCTCAGGAACTTTAGGAACTTTAGCCTTAGGAACTTTAAACTTTAAAAACTGTGCTCTTCGGTTCCCAGTATGAAGTGAAGTCCACGTATCTGGGTGTTGATATATATTTATACATCTTAAAGTTGCTAAGGTTGAGATTCCACTATAGAATAACAAGATGATACATGTCTATCACAGCAGTTTGATTACAGGGTAATTTTCCACTTTGTCTAACTTTAATTGATGGATTAGATATGTATAGGATAGATCAATATTTTATTTTAAATAAGGGATATTAATGGAAGAAGAAATAAGTAAGATGTATGTTAAAATTAAGGAATTAGAATATATTTGGAAGGGATACCTGAATTGATAATGTTTTTATTTAAAGTTAATTTGATTATGGTACTTGAAATTCATAAAGCTTTAAAACAGGTTCAGGTTGAATAAATTTTAAGCTAGAATTGGATTATTTTAAATATATTATGCTATTTGAGGGAAAAAGAGAGGGAATATTTGATGTATTGATTGTACTATGTATTTATGTTTTGTTTTTGGATATTTGATCACCCCACCACCACGGTCTGTCTTGAGTACCTTGTCTTAAAAATTAAAAAACCCAATAAAAGTTGTTTAAAAAATAATAATAAAAAGTTAAAAGTTCAGTTTCATTCATTGAGTGAGTACAATTAAATTGATTAAAACTGGTTTAAAAATCTTACTGCCATGTTTTTGACAGGTGTTTAGATGCAAAGTTTATTCTGCTGGGATTTTTGTTTTCCTTTTCAAATTTTATTCATGTGTCATTTTTAATGCATCTATGGGTTGTAAACTATATCAAAAGGGCAACATCGACATTAGCTACAGAAGGGACCAAAAGGAGAACTCAGAACTCCCAGAACTCCTGACAGTGTAAACTAGTGGTTCTTAGCCTGGGCGATTTTGCCCCCCAGGGAGCAATTTCGTTTTTCAGGGAGATGATGGAATGAAAAGTGGGCGATATGGGGGCAATGGAGTGAGAGGTTTTGGGGACACTTTTGAGCCTTCCCCTGTGGCTCCAAGCCTCCTCCGCCATTTGCAGAGGGAGACAGAGATAGAGAGAAGCACTTGTGCTTCTCTCTCTCTCTCTCTCTCTCTCTCTCTCTCTCTCTCTCTCTCTCTCTCATGTATATTTGCCCCCTCGCAGGGCTCCTGATTGGCCCTGTGCCCGGATGGCCTGCCCCCTGGGAGAAGCACAGCCAGGAAGTCCCTTTCCCTGGCTGGCCCTGTCCGAAGTGCACGTGGCCAGGGAACTGCGAGGGGAAGCCCCGGGATCCCCACTGGGAGCAGCCACCAGAGCCTCAGCTGAATAGGCCAGCCTTCCCGCAAGCCACAGCCCTGAGAGAGAGCAGCCCCTGCAATCCCCAGCCATGGGACCATTGGCCCAGCTGGCCGGGAAGGCACGCCGGAGTCCCGGCTGCTTTGTCAGCAAAGAATATGAGGTGAGCAGACGATGGGGGTTAGAGAAAGGGAGGGGGAGGCATTTTCCAACCAGCAGCAGAAGAGCCCTGGCCAGACCCACGGGAGTGCCTCCTCCTGGGGCCTGGGGCCGACTTCCTTGCCCTCCTCCTCCTCCCCTTCTTCCTCCTGCTGCCCCCTGGGCAGCAGTCCTGGCTGGGCCAGCAGCCAACGGGGGCATCGCTCCCTGAACAACACTGGTGGGTTGTGGATCACTGGGAGTGCAGTGCGGAGCTGCCCCAGCTCCTTCAGCACAACAGACTTACCAGCAGCACGGGAGGCACCAGTGTTGGTCCTGGCGGGAGGCGGATCGTTGCCCTGGTTCTGACCGAGGATGCCGGTGGCGCGACAGGTTTGGCGATGCAGCTGACAGGGGGTGTTCGATACACAGAGCCAATCATGGTCTTAATTTTAACATGAGTATAATTTATGGGGTTTTTTTGACTACAGAATGATCTGGTGTTAAATAAGGGATTTCACAAAAAGAGATAGATAGATAGATAGATAGATAGATAGATAGATAGATAGATAGATAGATAGATAGATAGAAGAAAGAAAGAAAGAAAGAAAGAAAGAAAGAAAGAAAGAAAGAAAGAAAGAAAGAAAGAAAGAAAGAAAGAAAGAAAGAAAGAAATAGTGCAGGGGTAAGCAATCTTTGCTCTTTTATGATTTGTGGACTTCAATTCCCAGAATTCCTGAGCCAGCCATGCTGGCTCAGGAATTCTGAGGATTGAAGTCCATGAGTCATAAAACAGCCAAGGTTGCCTACCCGATTTAATGTAATGATGTATCTCAAATTCTGCATTTATCCAGTAGCAGCTCAATTTCAACATTTTAAAACGTATTAGACAACCTGTGGCTTATTGGGTCATCCTTTTCAGAGATATTTCCTTCCAGCTTCTTCATTGAGTTTCCTTGTGGGAAGTTGGCAGCGAGCAGCAAAAAACTCCGCCCCCCGCCCCCATCCTCTCCCTGGCATCTCTGCTGCTTACTGTCCCAAAGAACAGTTACCTCCTGAACAAGGAGTTCATAAATAAATGTCCACATCATTACTGGGTGAAATTCGTGCTTGCCCAAGAAGAAGTATGTATTCCTGGCATGCTGATCAAAGGATTGATTACAATTTTAAGAAAATAATAGGCACTGTGCAGTTTTCCCTTGAGGAGGACACAGACTTCAGAATGTGTGGAGGTTCCAATGTGTCATAAAGGTGAAAAGTTCTGCTTCCCTGGAAACAGTCCTGCTTTGCTCATGGGGCCTAATAGAATCCATTCAAGCAGTGCTGCAACGATGCCTGAACAGCCAGTGTCACAACCTCTGCTCAAAGGTATCCTAGTAGCTCTTTATTTAGGGTGGCATATGTAAGTAGCCATGTAATACATTATAATTCTGCTGATTTCAGTTCCACATGATGTTGTGAGAAATCCACTTGCATGAGGAATTCACAAATTGCTTTCTCTAACAATTTTACATTCCATTTTTGCTATTTTAATGGGTTACACAACTCATCTGGTCGGGGAAATAAATCCATCGTATCACCCATCCCAATTGTTCAGAAGGTTGGTGAGAAAACAGGGGCTGGGCTCTCATTTATAATGGAAAAAGGGAAAATATGCTATAAAAAGAATAGGAGAAAAATTGCTGTTATGAGAAGGCACAGAAGTTAAGATGCAAGAATCAGTATATGTACAGGACAGCCTTCCCCATCTTAGTATTCTCCAAATATGTTCAGCTCCTTTCTCCCCATTCCTAGACATCAGTGATGATCCAGCTTCAGATTCACACCTATCAAAAAGAAATCACATTTAAATAAAATATTCAGTGCCTGGCAGCTTGAAGGCTGCACTGACCCTGTGCTGAGGGTGATTTTCCACACATCAATGGTACTAGTGCTCTCCTACCTCCAGAGGTAGAAGTTTCAGGATTCTTAATAGGTAACGTTTATATAGAAATCTATTCAGAAGCACCTATTTTGCTTCTTCAAACCTTTCACATTTAAAAAGTGACAGTTTTGGGTTCTGCCTAGTCTTGAGATAATTAAAAAGGTACTATGGAATGTACGCTCTGAATCCTTAGTTTAAAGCACTCCTATCCTGATAAAGGAGACAAAAATTGCACAGTACTTTATGTAGCTCTTTCGCTATATGTAGAGTTAGATACATTTTGACCCGATCGATATAATTTATCTGCACTCATAGACCCTTCAACACTTGAAGGGGCTAGGACAGAAGTCCCCAACCTTTTGGACACCAGGGACCAGTTCTATGTAGAGAGGTTTTTCTACGGACTGGAAGGAGCATGGTTTTGTGTGCTGCCTGCATCCCGTGGATGTGGCTTTGCTTGTTTGTGTGGACGAGTTGCTGGCATGCCGTGGCCTGGTACTGGTCCATGGACCGGGGGTTGGGGACCCCTGGGCTAGGAGATAATGCATACTTAACATTTCCAGAAAAAGAAATCCATATATGCTAGAAAGAAGTACCAATGACATTTGTCCAACATACATGGAGCCTTGACAGTCTATTTGAATAGCCTGGCTGAGATAAAAACAATTAGTCTAATGAAGACAAGCTTCTCTGCCCCTACTTCTACCAATCCCAAATGCATCAAAATGCCCTTGAAATTAATGTTATTTAGATCAGTCTGGATACCAGATGGTGGAACTTGTCTATATCAGAAGGGACTTCTTTAGTTCATAGAAAAATACTAAACTTACAGAAGTAGATTTAGAGATGATGATCTAACAAGAGCAAATCGCTATGAAGGCCAAGCAATGGATATTGGCTTTATTGAAAGAGAAACACTCATTTTTAATTAGGAACATAAATGTAACATAAACCAAGGAAACTATTAAAGAGGAAATTAAACAAATAGAATTGGATGTTTTAGGAATAACTGGATGTGGGTGGTTCTGAATTGGCTATATTAAACGATAATTATATGAGATGTAATTATTCAAGATATGAAACCATACAAAGGAATAGGGTGGCTACAGTATTCAAAAATTACTTTGTAAGATGTATACTCAACTATAACCCAATAATGAAAGGAATATATATTATATGGGAAAACTGCAAGAAGTCTTAGATGTAACATCTAAGCAATACATACTGATGGGAGATTGCAATACAAAAATCAGAAACAAGGAGAAATCTGGGAAAAAGTAAGGTGGGGTAAATGCAATAATGCAGGATATCAGTTAGTAGAGATTTGCAAAAAGGATTTTACATTGCCAATACCTGCTTCAAATAACTGAAACATAATATTCTATAGCTCTATATTACCCAATGACAATATCAGACATTTAAACTATAGTATACATTCTTTTCATTTCATGGATCTCATCTGCTTTGAATTAAGTTAATGTTCTGCTTTTATTACTCTACTTTGTTTTTAAGTGATGCAAAATAATGTTTTCATTGTTATCTTGTTTCTTTTTATAGTTTACCTACAGTATCTGTTTGTGTGTCTATCTGCAATTTCAGACAGTGCTTGACTTGACTTTAGGAAAGCTTTTGCTTTAATACTTCTATCAATATTTAAGATGTTATTTTTACAGCCATGCCACTGATGCTTAAAAATGTATACCAAATCAAAATAACCTCCTCCAAGGAGGATTTTACCTTTAGGATGAAGAGAAGTATCTCCCTGTAGTACAGTTGAAAACATGCCCCAAATCTCTTGCCATGATCAAAAAAAACTTTTCTTCATATATATCTCTTGTGCAAAGTTTGTAAGATACTCTGGAACCATCATGGAGATAATCTGTTGATTTAGTTGATATTTTATTTTGCCAGACAATCAGTGCAACATGACAGATATCACACAGCGAATTTCTCTTTCCAAGGTAAGACATGAATTTGTGTGAAGTTTTCCTCACAAATCCTTCCCCCCCTTCCTTTCCCTTTTTCCTTGTTCTCCTTTCCTTTCTTTTCTTTCCTTTTCTTTTCCATTAATCTCCTACCTTGCTCAAACCATATTAAAGTTAACTCTATTTAAGATAAAGTAACTGCTCAGGTGGATTGAATTAGATTTTCTAATCAGCAGATACCTAGGAAATTAATTTTTTTTTAAATCCCATCTCAGATTCAGTTTTACTAGATTTCATCATGACAATACACTTACTTGCATTGTATCCTATTGCTAGCTTGACAATGCCTCAGTTTTATATGCCTCAGTTTTATCCAGTGGGACTTACTAAGGACCTGATATTTGATTTCTGTAATTTCATAGTCAAACAAGGGCCTATTTTTGTTAATTTTATACCCCTCCTCTCATACTCTCAGATATGTTGGATCAACTGTGATCCTTCCAATCAGTTTGTTTAAAGCTGTATTGATTATGGATTATGACAGTTAAAATCCAATATCTGTATGGCAATGTACTGGGGGGAGGGATATGTAGTTGACAAAAGGCTAATCAAAATAAAAATAATTAATGGAATGTATTAAAAGAGGAATCACTTGTTTCTAAAAAGTATTTGGCAGAAGCAATTATAATTTCCTTTGATTTAATATTTAAGAAAACTAGGGGGGGTTGGAATATTTTCCTCTACTCTACCTTTATTTCAAATCATCACTGACCTTAATTCCATTAATCTGGATTCTACAGTGATCTTGGACTTAAATACTATAAGGCATGTGGCTTGTTTAGGTTTAGGTTGGAATTTTTTTTTTTTTTTTTGTATACATATATAATTGTAAACAACATGTCACCTCCTACCCCTTGCAAAGGGAAGAATGGGAGCATGTGTCATGAACTAAGTTTTTGTTTCACAAGTAGGGAAAGAGTATGGGGTGGTGGCTCACTTAATACAGTTTTCAATATCATCCTCATTTTTAATTTGCTTTCTCACTGTGAATTTATTTAAACTTGATACTAGTTCCTCCCTCACACACATATAATATAATTGACAATCTGAGCATCTAAGTGTTTTTTTTCTTCCATTCAATCATCTCCAGTTCTTGGAGGTTGCTTCACAAGTCCTTGCAGTTTTCCTGGCAAGGTTTTTTTTTTTTTCTCTTTCAGAAGTGATTTTGCCATTGCCCCCTTCCTAGGGCTGAGAAAAAGTGATTAGCTGAAGGTCATCCAGCTGGCTTTGTGCCTAAAGTGGGATTAGAACTCACAATTCCCTGGTTTCTAGCCTCTTGCCTTAGCTACTGTACCAAACTGGCTCTACCACCTGAGATATAAAGAATTTATATTCAGCGATTTAAATTACGTCATCAAGTTGAACTTTGCATTTATCTTATAGAAATAGAGTGAAATTATCAAAAGCTACAAAATCAATTTCAGATACATAAAATAATATTCACATCATGATTAAATAATTGCTGAGCTGGAATCAAAATAAAATTCTTCATTTGACAGAAAACTTTAAAACATTTAGAGAAAAATGATAAAAATGAGTAAGTGTAAATAAACTATCATGAGGATTGATATTAGTTTGTTGCTATATAACTTTCACCCAACTCTTCACATTTATATCTTGAATTACTGGTCCCTTGAGATAAATTTAGGGCCCAATCTGAAAAGCAGAACTTAGTACCTGTGAAATCTTTTGGAGCTGGAGTACAAACATTAGTGCAAAGGAGAAAATTTAGCCACAAGGTATTAGTAGAAATTTCAAAATCTATAACACACACCTATATCATAGACACTAAACTATGGAGGAAGTCTACATTGCTGAATTATATATGGTCATGTATTGTCCATTCCATGAAACTAACGGACCAAACAGAGCATCTGGTATTTTCAAGTTACAAATATGCTGAGAAAGGAGCAATCTATTGAACACATATTTTTCAGAATGATCCTTGACACATATCCCTCTTTTGCAAAGTCTTTAGAAAAACACTATTGTGAGTTAACGGTATTTCTCCATTCTACTGTTTTATTAGGCAATCTAATTTCACAAGCCTTAATAATTTGAATATTATATTTTTCCATCTCTTTCCCACTTTAGCCACCAGTGAAACAGAACATGTACAAGACTTTGTATATGATGGATTATAAACCATATGATGAGTTACAGAACCAGCTATCTATGATGGATCTCTCAAAAGTATGTAATATTTTTATTAATTAATTATTCCTAATGTTCTTTGTCCTTAATTAACTTTTTGGAACTAACATTAGTTATATAATTATGGATTGTTTGCATGGTTAGTGATGCTTGGTTTTGGCTTTCAGGCATCAAATATTATTATATCAATATAAATTTCTTATTTCAAAGTTGTCCAATTTTCTTCATTTCTCCTCCTATTTGCCCTCAAAGATGTTGTCAATTTTAGAAAACTACCATACATTTGGAAAAAGAGAAACACATTTCCCAAAGGACTTGAACTTCTGCTTGCAAATCTTCAGTTGATTGATGTGAGCTTACAAATCAGATGATGGTGAGAGGAAAAAGGAGAAAATATGAAAGATGCATTGTGACATTGTGGTGCAAACTCCCCTCCCCTCTGTACGTGAACCATTTTCCAGGGATGGAGCTTACATTATAGTATGACATACTTTCTGTCATTTTGAAAGAACTCTGTTTGCTTGGCTCATTTGTTTTTTGTTTTGTTTTTTGGCCAAAACTGATTCTTTTTCAAATTCATAGTTCTATTAGTAACCAAATCCCTTATTTGAAGGCATCTTTTTTCATTCATTCTTTATCAGCATCCAGCTTTTACAGATATACATTTTCTCCAGAAAAACCATTGTGTTAATGATAATAAAAGACATTTTTCATTGTGTTTGCCCATACCTCAGCTGACTATTGTTCTACAAATTTTAATTGCCACTACACAAAATTTAGCTGGATTATATGTGTAGAAGAGCAAACAAAGCTGGATGGTGGAGTTAAATGCATCATCAGTTTAGAGTTCTTGCATTGCCACAAGAGGTCCAAATCCAGACCCCCTTGAATTCCATTGGCCCTTCTAGCGCCAATTTAGTGCTGACTGTTAGTTGACCAGATTCTTGAACAATAAATCTTTCTGAACTGCAACTCATTCTGTGGTCCTGATCCTTTGCAATTGGCAATATATGGTGAATGATTTCATGTCAGATATGAGAAAATTCACAAACAAGCTTTCATTTTGACTATAGGATGTGATAGTAGTAGAAGAGAACATCAAGCCTAGCTCTGAAGAAGGTTCTTTGTTGGGCAGGAGAAATTAGGGTTGTTAGATATCTGCATGATTTGCATGTATTATGTGATTTCTGTTATGCACTGAAATGTGGCTGAGCTCTTCTGGTGTTCAATATCTATATCCCATTAAAGAATAATGGCTCTTTTAGCTTAGGCATGAGCCATAATTTTATGTGTTCACACTCTGACCAAAAATACCATATACTCATCTGTTTTAGTAGCCCATTCTGTCCCTTATTTCTGGCAATATAGTTAAATTTCCTCTTTTCCTTTTCTGTTTCCTAAACTGGTTCACACTTCTTTACTATTTTACATGTCCTTGTAAAATAACCTGGTTTACTTGCAATCAACTCTTCAATATTTATTTAGGGAAGTTTGGTATCTTTAGTATAACTAGAACATATATCTCATTGGAAAGTTCTCATCATTTTACTGTTGCCTTTTTTTAAGTTTGATGTTTGAATTCCTTCTGCTATGTTTATTTCCTCCTGACTATAGAATCTCACCTGCCTTACTTATTGTGGATATCCTCAGGTTTACCTGGCAAGAGCAACTAGCCTATTAGGAGCTCACACTCTGGCTAACATTATTCCCAGGTTTATTAGTTCCTGACCCTTCCTGTCATTTCAAGATCATGATGTGGCAGGGAAGGAAAATGTAGTAGAGGAAAGAAAAAATGGAAAGATTTCATTATATAATTAGTGCCTCTAAGTTTCCAGAATGCAGACATTATTGCTGTTTTGTGCCATTTTGTGAAATTTTTACTCTACTGTGAATATTGGATTCTTTTTTCTTAGACCTACATAATTATAATTCTTTCTCAATCATTAATTATGATACACTTTTGAGTTGTCTTTTAAAACAAACACTTTAAAATAATATAGAACTATATATCACATAGTCTATAACAGTGGTTCTCAACCTTTCTAATGCCGCGACCCCATAATACAGTTCCCCATGTTGTGGTGACCCCCAACTACTTATACATCACCGGGTGCCAGGGGCGTGGCCAAAGAAAAGAGGGAAAAAAATGGTGGACAGCCTTGTTTGGCGACCCCCGTGAAATGGTTGTTCGACCCCAAATGGGGTCCCGACCCACAGGTTGAGAACCACTGGTCTATAATCTTAGCAAAATTACATAACCTGGAACATACTCTGCCCCAATGTATCAGGTAAGCAGAAGTCACTGGAGAGAGGAACTCTCATGTTAGCATAAAACTGATAGTTCAGTTGTTCAATGTTTATTTACACCAAAGATGATGATGATGATACTGTTTAAAACAGTGTTTCTCAGCCTTTTTAATGCCGCGACCCCCAACCGGTTGTAAGTCGAGGACTACTCAACCAGTCGTAAGTCGAGGACTTTCCCTGCCCAGGAGCGCCGCGCATTCGTGGTGCCACCCCCTGCGCCAGCCAAGGCGTAGCTGGCAAGCGGCAGAGATGGCGCAGGCCAACCACCAGGCTGGGCCATCAGCTGGCCCAGCCCAAGGGAGGTAAGGCACCCGCCGGGCCCCACGCGTGCCAGCAACCCTCCCTGTGCCCGCCGGCCTCCCACCTCCCACCCCTGGCCCTCTTTTACTTACATTTTTAGTAGTTGCTCAGTAGGGAGGGGTGGAAACTTCCAGACAGCTCGCCTTCGCTGCAGACAACTTGCAGCACCGTTTGCAGAATGGGACTTTTGGCGGGCTCAGCAGGGCAGAGACAGCCTGGACAATTCCTATTGGCTTTTGAAAGCCAATAGAATTAGACTCTATTCAAGAGAGTCTATTCTATTGGCTTTCAAAAGCCAATAGAATAAAAGGGAATAGCACAGCTAAGGAAAAGGGGGAAAAAATGGCGGACTGCGTTGTTTGGCGACCCCCGAGAAATGGTTGTTCAACCCCAAATGGGGTCCCGACCCACAGGTTGAGAACCACTGGTTTAAAAGTAAAAGACAATAACCAGGTATAAAACATTAGTTAAAAAGATAATCGGAATATTATTATCACTACTGTTACTAGCATTTTCCTCTGTGACTCTGTGTTTTTGCCTTAAATACCTTACATTAGTGACATAAAAGTCAGATTCGTAGACGGAAGTAGACAAAACTAAAATAAAATAAAATCCATACATAGGTTATATAATTCAGTCTTATTCAAGGGTTAGTTATAGTTGTCTCATATTGAGGAAAATGGGGGTAGGTCAATTTGGATTTTATCTGGCTGGCAGCATAATAGAATTTCAATGTCCAGGGAAGTGTAATGTCATGGTTCTGATAGATGAAACCAATTAAAAGAATTTCAAGGCAAAGATTTCTTCCTTAAAGAACGTTTTATTCAGGAAACAAAGTATTGGCATTTACATAGTTAAACCCAAGACTAAAGTTCCCTCCCCCAATACAATGTAACAAGTTGCAATTCCCACCCCAGAAAGGTGGGAATTAATTCACCAATTAATCTAAAACAAAAACTCTTCTCCCAACTTTTCACGGGCCAAAACTTTATCTAAAATTGACCTTGAAGCTCATCCAGCTGCAATTGTTTAGGCTAACGGAAAATGCTCAAGGATTCCCCTTTCCCCCTTCTATATGAGAATCCTATATACAGAAAAAGCACAAGGAAAGCAAAAGGTAAAATTGCTGCAAATTCTTAATTGTCACAGTATTGACATCTCGCCCCCCCTTAACAGAAAGCAGAAGTCCTGCAAATCAAACAAAAGCATAGATTAGGGATTTCCTTTCGGTTTGTTCAGATGTTTATCATAAAATTTACGAATAAGTCTATCAGCTTTTACATCAGTATACTTTACCCAAGTAGCCTCTGTAATGGATAGCCTTCCATTGCACCAAGTCCAGGAGCTTTCTTGGGAGGGGGTCTTAGAGTTGATTCTCTGAAAGGTTTCAACAAGCTGCAGTGAAATGCAAGGTGAATCTTCCCTAAAAATCAAGGAAGTTTTAATTCTACAGTAACTGGGTTTAGAACTCGCACTATGGGGAAAGGACCCAGATATTTTGGTCCCAATTTTTTGCTAGGCAATTTGAGTCTTAAATACTTCGTGGACAGATAAACCTTTCCCCCCTGGGAAATGACCTCTGGGGAGCTCTTTTCTTATCAGCTTGTTTTTTATATGTTTCTGAAGCTTTTTTTCACTGCTCTCTTGGCATTGTCTCACACTCCCTTCCAAGATGACACCCATTGGTCTAACGCCCAAGAGGCAGGGGGATCTTGGGGGTATTCAGGCATTGGGATAAAATCCCTTCCACTGGAGATCTTAAAAGGCGTGAAACCGGTGCTACTGTGGACAGTGTTGTTGTAAGCCACTTCAGCGAATGGGAGGAGGTCAGTTCAGTTCGTCTGTTGGTAATCCATATTAGCACCTAATATATTGTTCCACCATTGCATTTGCTTTTTCAACTGCCTCATTTGTAGACGGATGAAAAGCCGATGACAGTCTTTGCGTTAAGCCAATTTTCAGAAAGTTTCTCCAGAATTTAGTTGTAGATTGCACCCACCATCAGAGATTACAGATCTGGGAGAAGAATTACCTACAGAAATTGACCACATAAAGGGGAAAAAATGGACTCTAATATGTCTATAAAAACAGACAGTTCAACAGTGTACATTTAATAGTATCATTGGAAAGGTGGCATACTAGGGAAGACTACCCTATCAGATTGTTATAAAAGCCAAACTTCAGTTTTTAAGTATTCCTTATTCCACAAGGCTTCATGGTTGCAGCATACAGTTAAAATAAAATAAAAAAATCTTCATCTTGCATCCATTGCTTTTGTAATTTGATTTTGCAGAAACTGCAACTGGAAACTCAGCTTAAAAAGAAGGAGTTTGAAAGGCTTGTTGAGAAGGAGTCTATGAAATACGCTGAGGAATCCATCTGTCAAGAGATAGAACCACCTTATCCTGTAAAAATAGATGAGAGTTTGTCAAACAGCCAAGAAGCTCCTCTAGCTTTCCAGCAAATAGAGGGAGATCAAGAAAAGTATTATCTTCCTTCAGAGCCAACTGCATTCCAGAAAAAGGAAGCAGAGAGCATAGTTCCTCAGACAGAAGCATTTGCCATGCCAGGTAAAAAGGGCCCATCCTTCACCACAAAACTATTGAATTTTTTTTATTTTTAAAGATTCATATGTGGTTAGATTTAGTTTCATGTGGTTTTATAAATACCAAATTAGATGATGTGGTTTTGATCCACCTAAATTCAAGTAAAATTGACAAGTACTTCATCGATTGCTCTAGTTTAGCCTGCAGGCAGTACAGGTAATCCTTGACTTACAACCATTCATTTAGTGATCCTTCAAAGTTATTACCGGCACTGAAAAAGTGACTTATGTTTTTCACACTTACAGCCACTGCAATATCCCCACAGGCACATGATACTTGACAACTGGCATGTATTTATGATGGTTGCAGGGCCCTGGAATCAGGTGACCTTGAGACCTTCTGACAAGCAGGGAAGCCAGATTCACGCAACAACCCTGTTACTTAATAATGGGGGTAAGAAAAATCATGAAATGGGGCAAAACTCACTAAACAGCTGTTTTGTTTAGAAACGGAAACTTTGGGCTCAGTTGTGGTTACAAGTTGAGGACTTCACCTGTGTGCATATGAATATGTTAAATATTCCACCCAGTAAAAACTACATGTAGAGTTTTTGTAGATGTTAGAATGACAACCTTCCATATAATTCCATATAATTTGGGATTCCATTTTTCAGTGAACTGAAAAGTATTTTGTGAGAGATCATTACTTCTGGTGGGTGAGGCATCCTCTATTCCCCACAATGTGGGAATTAGGATTTTGTTAAATGTTACTGATTCCTTTGCGCATCTCGACTTGCAGTTCCTTCATCTTTTTGAAGGCTGGGTGCCTTTCCTGAATTCTGCCTCCAAGAAAAGGGTTTTTGGGACATATTGGATATTCTCTATTTTTCACAAATGATCCTTCAGATTGTTTCTCTGACTGCTTTATCCAATAAATGAAGTATGTTTGGGAATGTTGCCAGGGTCTAATCTATTGGCTTGATTGATTAGCTTCAGGATATTCATGTTTCTTATTAGTTTTCAGCTAGAGAATTTTTTTAAAAAGGTAGTTCTGCTGTGCAATCTCTTAAATACCATTAAATCTGAGCAATGTTTTTTCCTAAGCTTATTGTGCAAGTTACTGGTTTAACTTAGCTACTAATATTCCAGTTTCAGAAAATCTTCAACAGTTATTCCTTCTATGAAATACATTAAATAAAATCAATACTGCAGAAAAAACCAAAATAATTATCAATAAGGATGTTCATGTGGGAAGAAATCCAAAAATGGAAGTCTTGCCAAATACATAAGGCTATAATAATGTAGTTCTCCAAGTTATATTCATATATTTAACCGTTATAACTTTTTTGTGCTGTTAGCTTTTGCATAGAAATATAATTACTGCTTCTATTTTCACCAACATTTATTTTACTAAATTTGTTATTTTTCTAAGTTAACTCTGATACCTGAATTTTCTCTCCACATATGAATGTCATTCAGTATAATGAATGGCCTGGATCAAAGATCAAGACCAAGAATTAAGTACTGCTTAAAGGGAAAGGGTGAAGTGGAAAAGGCCATCTGCACTGCTTCTGTGGACTGCACACTGTTATCATCTTAAGATGGAAACCAAAGGAAAAAGAAGTCATCCTGCACATCAAAATCCATACCCACACTTGTTTGTGAATAAATCTGCACACCACCCAAATCAATATCCAGGGAACCAACGTCAAATAGAAATTCACTGTTTTGGGGACCATCATCTCAGCTCAGAATTAGCTATTATGAAATACATCCTGACTATCCCTATGGCATTCTTACAATAATTTATAAGTATTATATTTTAATAAGATATTATACACATTGTTCAAATATTATTATTAAAAATAAGAATAATTAGCAAGACATTCTCTGAATGTAATTGTATCCACAGTAATCTTTTGGATATGATGGAAAAAAATATATTACAATGTGGGATTTTCCTTTTCCTGGAAGCATAGGTACTCCTTGTATCAAGCAAGAATTGGGGCAGAACTGGAACCACTATCAACAATTTATGTTAGAAATGAGGCGAGCTAATCAAACACAACTTAAAGAAATTAAGAAATCACATTTGGGATCTTCTGTTTTTCAGGCAGGTTAGTTAAATTTAGTCAAATACATGTAGTTGCTAAGATATCAATAATTATGAAAATATTCCAATAAGTATGGAAATATCCATCCTTTCCCAAAGAAATGCAGAAATACAATGACTAAAAATTGCTTCATATCTGATCTTTTAACAGATTTTGTCACCACTACTGATGCAAGTACTTACCAAAGGGATTATAAACATTGGCCTAGTGTCCGTAGTGGCTTTTATCAAGCAAATCGGAATTTCTCCAACTTTTTTTTCCATGATGGCTACTACAATGAGTGAGCATTATTGTCTGGATTTTGATGGTAGAAAGAGGTTAAAGATGAGTAATATTTACATTCCTGGTCAAAGCTTCTGTCTAATTCAAGGAATTCTCAACCCACATTTATGATGTGAACCTGCTAAACTGTGACCAAAATTATTACACCACATCCTATGTTCCTTCTGAATGCATGATACCAAAAATCCTTTGTTTCTTTTATTTACTGGATTCCTTTCTTTTTTGTAATAGCATCCTTGAGAGATAACAGAACAATAATATCTTAAAATAGATGAAATAATAGGACAAGGAAATATTATGTATGTTCATTATCTTAAATTACCTATACAGTTATAAAAGTGACATGAATATCTAATAATAAATGATACAGTTCTTGAACCATTATTAAAACTACTCATAAAGACAGCACAAATTATGCACATCAGTCCTAGCAGTAAATTGGATCTTTGGCATATCTTCAGAGAAGGGAATTCTACCCAAAACCACCAGCTGAAAATAAGTATTAACTTTGGTATGCCTATATAGCTAGAAAAATAAGACTATATCCAAAAAATTGATTTTAATAATTCAAATTTGTCTTTACCCATCCATACTCTTCCTTCCAGGAACCCCTGGACATCAGAGTACATGGATAACTACAACATTTTCTTAAAGAAGTTAAACTGGAAAACTCAAAATCCTGTGTCAACTTTCTGCTCTACAGTCAGGCCCATATCCTGTCTTTCTCCTGAAATATCCATACAGACTCCAATAGCAGTGAATACAGCACCTTAAAAGGGGGCACAAAGTTCTATCTGACAGCTGCAGTCATCATGGTACGAATTAAATTTAAATATATCATGTGAAATATTTCATCAATGTAGTTATAAATCATACTCTTAGTGAAAGGCTGTTTGTCAGCCAATCATTACACCCTTGGCTATAGGTCCATAAGTAAATTAAACATTTTCTTTGCTACCAGTATATAGAACACAACTTTCTTTTCAAACAATTATTTCAGAATATGAACATGCTAAAATAGCTCTTACATATTTCTTTTTGATTGCAGCTCCACAAGCAATATAGGACAACTGCTACCAAAATTTTGGCACTGTTCAGGGCAACCTGAAGAATGTTTATAAACCAAAGGCAACTGTTTATATTTCAATTATTTATATATTTATGTTGTTGTTATAACTTGTTTTTGATAATATATTTATTTACAAAAAACCCAAGGGCACTGATCTGAACTATATATGGAAACTGACAGTGCTACTGTGCTGTAGATTTCTCTTAGGATTAGTAATCCACAGATAATTTTTCAGGTTATGCCTTTAAAATAAACAGTAGACAAAACATAAATAAGTCATGATGTGTTTATTTAGCATAAGACAGCTGATCCCTTGTGGCTAGTTTAAATTGTGGTAATCAAGATGTCTGTCATAAATATAAACATAAACAGCTACATCTTTGGGAATCTGTATTTTCCTAACATTACACCTAAGTTGCAGGATGTCTGAATGTAGTTGTTCCACCAGATGAGAACTCCCATTTGGTTCAGGTTGTATCAAAGATGTTTTTCAAATGGCAACTGGACTTTTGTTTTTTTTCTTGAAGATGTTTCACTTCTCATGCAAGAAGCTTCTTCAGTTCTGACTGAATGGTGGGGAGTGAAAGGATTTATATAGAGAAATATACTAATTTATATACATAAATTTAAACACACACACACACAAACACACACACACAAATACACATACATATATATAAATCCTTCCACTAACACCATTCAGTCAGAACTGGTGAAGCTTCTTGGATGAGAAAGGAAACATCTTCAAAGAAAGTCCAGTTGCCGTTTGAAAAGGATCTTTGGGACAACCATGACCTGGATGACCGAGAATCTTCATAGATAGTTGGTTCAGCAATCTAAGCTATCCTTCAGTAGGGAGAATCATTTCAGAATCTAAATAGTGAAGAATAGAAGCTTTCCCCTTTCTCTGATGAAACAGTCAAACAGCTCAGTTTTCTCTTTCATCTATAGTTACCAGACTCAAATAGCTTTTGACTGGGTGGAGTCAGAAATCCTGTGCTGGAATAAAGGATACTCTTAATTTTAATATGAGCAGAAAAGAAAGGACTTTGGTAATAAAGCAGCTGCAGCAAGGCATTGGGAGGCTTAGATCTATGTGCCAAAGTTAGCATTCATTAACCAGCAGACAGAAACGTTACTGAGCATAGCAATCCTGCAAATAACACAGACAATGAGTCTGCCTTAATTTTCCTTGCCAATCTTATCTTTTCCATAGCATTTGGGAAAGGGTTACTTTTAATTGGGATTAACGTACATCTATATCTATATAGCTATATATAAAATAGAAAATATTTTTCTTAGCATATTATCAATGCTAATTTATCAATATCTATATAATAAATATATAAATATATATCTTTTCTTAGCATGTTGCTATTATCAACAAAGCCTATGAATTGAGAGTGTAAATACTCCTGAGGTTTCGTGGGTTACATTGGGAAAAATAGAGAAGTTGTATGTTCAGTGCTTGTAATCAAGAAACGTTTTCAAACATTCCTGAGGTCTACTTTTTAAGAAGTAGGTACAAGAAATAGACCAGGAACACTCAGTATTTCAGAAAACCATTTTCCTTTTTAATGCCAGAGGGTAGGGAGGCAATAGCAATAGAAGGACACAGGCACTTGGGGTGAACAGAATACAGGTTGTACTGTGTTTTATTCATATCTTCTGACCATAAAAACTGAAAATGATTTCAGACACTTTGTTTGGATTTGTAAAAATGGTAGAATTAACACCATGTTAAAATATGTTGCTGCAGAATGTTAAAGATGATTAAGTAGATTTTTCTGGGATAGATAGCAATAATATTGCATTACCAGAAAAAAAAATCATTTTAAGATAAAAAAAAATTGACAACATAAGACCTCTTACCTTGTAGAGTGCCATGTAGTACATGTGATAATGCAGTCTAAAGCATGGTTGGTCAATGTCACATTAATTCAATGTCAGAAAAAAAAAAAACAGCAGCTGGTGTAACTGTACAAGAGATGCTTGTGTGCTGGGATTTTCGGACTTCCAGCAGCATCTAGTGGTCATAGGTGCTGTGGAACTCAAGTTGGCATTCTCAAGGAACTTCCAGGACAGATTAATAGAAAGCACATTGCAGTAATTTACAGATAAATACATAAATACAATCTGATCTTTGAAATATTTTCCTTAATATTCGGAGCTGAGATTCCCATGCCCATTTTCTAGTTTTTAAAAAAACAAACAATTACATATTATTAGTTCCAGAAATAAAAAAATATGCAGATAGCTATGCATTTTACTCTTTGTATATTATTTGTTCAATTTATTTCCAGTCTATCTCGGTCTGGGGTTACTCTAGGCAGCTTACAATAATAAAAAGAAAAATGAAAAAAGTATAATCAGAACAGAAATAATGGAATAAACAATGACAAAGAAACACAATGAGAATAATATATCAGTATGATAAGCAAAAAGATGGATGGGTGGAGAGCAGAGAACAGGTGGAGAGAGATGGAGCTTGCAATTAATCTAGCAGCCCCCATGTGATCCCCAAGTTAATCGGTAGTCACATCTTTAGGCTCTCACAGAAGCATAAGATGTTGGGGGAAGATATTGCCTTAGAGCAGTGGTTCTCAACCTTTTTAATGCCGCGACCCCCAACTGGTCGTAAGTCGAGGACTAAACTGGTTGTAAGTCGAGGACTACCCAACCGGTTGTAAGTCGAGGACTTTCCCTGCCTGGGAGCGCCACACATGCGTGGTGCCGAGGCGTAGCTGGCAAGTGGCAGAGACGGAGCAGGCCGACCACCGGCTGGGCCACCAGCTGGCCACCAGCCCAAGGGAGGTAAGGCACCTGCCGGAAAAGGGGAAAAAAATGGCGGACAGTCTTGCTTGGCGACCCCTGTGAAATGGTCGATCAACCCCAAATGGGGTCTCTAAGGTTGAGAACCGCTGCCTTAGAGGGTAAGATGTTCAAAGGGCAGATGCTACAGCAGAAAAAGCTTTTCTTCTGGATCCTGAGAGTTGGAGCTCTTTACGGGGATCTGAAGTAGGCTCTCTCTCTACTGGCACAAATAAGACGGGACATCTTAGTGGGAAGAGATGCTTCATCATATTAAGGACTTTAAAAAGTCATAACCAATACCTTGAACTGCACTTGGAAGCAGACCAATAGCCAGTGAACTTTGCAGAACAAGAGGTGTAATAGGTGTCACCTTAGAGGTTCCAAAGACTGCTCTTTCTGCTGCACTTTGCACCAGCTGAAGTTTTCAAATTGATTTCAAGGATAGTCCCATATAGAGCACATTGCAGTAGTCCAGGCAAGAAATGAGCAGGGCTCAAGTAACCAAGTGCAGGGAATCATGATTCAGGAAAGATCACAAACTCATGCCTGCCACCTGGCATCTGGCTCAATTGTAGTAACTGTGAGAGGAATCTTGGAGTCCTAGTAGACAAATCACTTAAATATGAGCCACAGAGTGCGCAGCAGCCAAAAAAGCCAATGCAGTCCTAGGCTACATTTAATACAGGGATAGAATCAAGATTATGTGAGATTTTAATTTTAGTTTTAGAGATTAAGAGAGAAATTTTTAAATTGCAAGCTTTTGCTGACGATCTTGTTTTCATACTCGAAGAACCTTTACAATCAGGGACAAGGCTAATGGAAGTACTGGGTGAATATGGTGAAATGGCAGGCCTAAAGATAAATAAGGAAAAAACCAAAATACTTGTGAAGAATATGATTAGATCACAGAAAAACGAACTAGCTGATAAATTAGGTATTCAGATCACAAAGAAAATAAGATACTTAGGGATACATCTAACAGCTAGGTGTGTAACAATTAAAAGAGACAATTATGACAAATTAATGGATCAGATTAAAATAGTCTTGGACACCTGGACAAATCTCCAGCTTTCTTTCATGGGTAGAATTGCCATAATTAAAATGAACATATTACCTAAAACATTATTCCTATTTCAATGTATACCAATTAGATTAGAAAAGGAATTCTTTCAAAATTTCAACCAAACCATACTTAAATTCATTTGGCAAGGGAAAAAACCAAGGATTAAATTAAAATTATTACAGGATGCTAAGGAAAGGGGGGGGGGCTCAGCCTCCCCGATCTGGAAAAATACTATCAATCTACAATTCTACTGTGGGTGCGGGATTGGATTCGACTGGAAAATCAGAGATTATTAAAACTGGAAGGTCATGACATGCAGACGGGATGGCATGCCATGTTATGGGATGAGAAGCATAAAGTTCACCAGTACTTCCAGAGGCACTACATCAGACGGGCACTAATAGATGTATGGATCAAAATTTGATGACAGAACTACAGGCAAGTCCCCAATTGGATCTCAACACTAGAAATGTACGTACACCCAAGGTTTATTCAGTTGGGGAAAGCAATAACCTATAAAAACATACTAGACGAGAGAGGAGAATTAAAATCGAGGAAGAATCTCCAAGATGCAGGAATAGAATTAGAATAGTGGGCATACCTCCAACTACAAGCAAGATATAGGCAAGATAAAAAAGAGTGGGGTATAAAGATAGAACTGACAGAACTAGATAAAATTTTAATAGGTCCCGAGGATAAAATGATTAAAAAAATATATCATTTTCGTTTAGATCAGACAATGTATGAAGAACAGGTTAAGGAGACCATGTTAATTTGGAGTAGGGATTTCGGTTTCAGTATCGACCTACATATTTGGCAAGAACTGTGGGAAAGGAATAGGAAACTCACTTTAGCTACCTCATATAAGGAAAATCTTTACAAGACGTTTTATAGATGGCATTTCCCACCTGTAAGGCTAGCCAAAATGGGTTCAAACATCTCACCCCTATGCTGGAAATGTAAAACAGCAATAGGTTCATACTACCATATGTGGTGGGAATGCCCAAAGACTCTTGAGTATTGGAACAGGACACGAAACTGGTTGAGGGATATATTAACACTGGACTTAGAGTTAAAACCTGAACTCTTCTTATTGGGAATAACAACAGAAAAATATGACAAGGGAGCAATCTACCTGCTGCTACACATCCTGACTGCAGCTAGGCTTGCTTTAGCGCAGTGCTTCTCAACGTTTGTGTGACGGCGACCCCCGTCACACAAACGTTCTGCGCATGCGCCGGGCCGCGCGCATGGGGGCGGGGGCCTCACGCACGGCGTGCATGCGCGGTGCCGCCCCCATGCGTGACGCGCATGCGCGACGGCCCCCCCACGCGCGGTGCGCGTGCACGGCGCCACCCCTTGCGTGACACGCATGCATGGGGCTCCCCCCATGCGCGGCGCGCGTGCACGGCACCGCCCCCATGCACGGCGGGTGTGCACGGCACCGCGGAAAATGGCAGATCGCCGCCTTTGGCGACCCCCGAAAAATGGGCGATCGACCCCAAATGGGGTCGCGACCCATAGGTTGAGAACCGCTGCTTTAGCGCAAAAATGGAAGAGCAAGGAAATTCCCACAGAGGAAGAGTTAATACATAAAATATTAGCATGTGCGGAAATGGACAGGCTCACAATGATATAAAAAGACAAAAGTGGATCAGTTTATTATGAAACCTGGGATAAATTTTACCACTGGAGGAATTTGAAGAGGACAGTCGGGATTAAAGATGAATGTTAAAATAGAAATATATTTTATTTTAGAACAAGTATTGTATATAAAACTTAGATGTATATGTAGAGATGAAGAATTGATTGTAAAAAGTGGAATAATCTGATAAGAATGTATATAATGGAATGTCA